TCTCGCCTAGAGGAAGCCACGACCACGTGTCAGAGCAGGGAAGATGGCCGTGGGTCGTGTTTGTAACCCGATACGGAGTTCACGAACGGAAGCAAAATTTGTGAACGCTGTGTTTGCGAACCAAATTGTTCATGAACAGAAGCGTTTGTGAACCGAGGTATTACTGTATGCAACAGTTACTAGAGATAATGAAGGCATTTGCCCTTTCCTAGGGTTTTGGTTTTTTTTGTCTGACGTGGAATAGCCTTAATAATTCTAAATATCTTGGTTGTGATGTGCTTTATTCCATGTTTGTTATGTACTATGATTCCAGCATACCTTGCTCCAGTCTCTTTTTAGGAGACAAAGCACAAGCTTTAAAATTAATAAAATATAAATCCATTCCTTGTGAAAATGTACCATTCTTGAATAATATGTTGATTTATGTAGTATTGTTTTAACTGAGCATTCTGGGCAATATTTTGATCCATTTTTGTGTGGGTTCCAGTCAGTTGTAGGAACTGAAATTGCTTTGTGGCTGTGATAAATGGCCTATACTGGGAAAAAAGAGCATTATACTATGAGCCATGATATTCTGGCTTTTCTTGCCTGTCTTTCCTGACTCCCTCTCTCCTCTCCCCTCCACTCCTCCCTTCCCCTCCCCTCCCGATTTGTAGTAGCCAGTCATTAATTTAATAACTGGAAGTAAGACTATGTGTTCCCTCTAGAAAAAGTGTGCCCTGTCTGGATCCCCTGATGAGATGCATGGAGTTAACTCTTCATGGGAGCTTACTTGTCATCCTGGGACTGCTAGTGCTGGTCTCTGTAGAATTGCTGCCAGCAGGAGTGGCAAACAAGTGGGAGAGCCAAGGCTGGATGTACAGCTTGGGGATAAAGCTTCAGCAATAACAATAGCAATAATAGACCAAAGTGGTATTAATCCTTTCAGTGGCCCTTTATGGCCAAGGGGAGTTCACCGAGATGGTCCTGCCCTGCGTTTTTCCCTGAGTCCACAATTGGTGAAGTTGGGTATCTGCCTGTTAGGCCAAATTTGACCTGGCCTTCTGTTTCTGAGAATTGTGAATAATAATTGGAACTGATTGTTATCTAATTTAGGTAACCTCTGTGGGGATATTATCAAAGTGAAAGGTGAGATCTACTCATTTTAACAGACTTATTTGGAACAGTTATACTATCATTTCATACGTGTACTACCAAATGCAAGACTGTATAAGAATCTGTATAATACAGAACTGTTGCTTAACTTTCTTGAATGTTTATTGACAGCAAGAAAAAAGGATGACAGATTCAAGGAAAAAAATGCTACCTAAACTGGAAAAAATGAAAATTGAAGAGAAACCACAAATTTCTTCAGAAAAGACCGAAGGGTAAGGGGGAAAAAAAAAAGAATATATAGGCTAATTAATTTTAAAACAAATGTGCTAAAATGTGCTAAAAAGTTCAGAACACTACGGAAAATTGTATTTTTATTAATTTAAAATAACAATTATATCTTTATAATTTGGCATGAGATGATATAATTCTTATTTATTTGTTATTTTATTGAAGTTATCTGAATACTGTGTGCCACTGTTAATATTATAGAAGTTATAATTAAGAGTAACAAGGGAATTCAATACCTGAGGCCTCATGTTGCTGTCCACTGAAATTCGGATGATGAAAGCACTCTGAGAAGATTTATTAGAAAAAGAACAAAGAGAATACAAAATTAAATCAAAAGAACAATTGGTTTC